AACACCCTCTCCTCGTCCCTCTTCCTCAGCTTCCACGCCGTACTCGCCAGATGCCCCTCGCTCTTCTTATCCGTGATAACCAGCCCCGGAGCCGGGAGGCGCATGACAGGATGTGGCGTGAGCCCCTTGATATACGCTTCCAACGCTAAAATAGATCTCGGGAGCGTAGCGTTGATGATCGTGTTCACCGCCGCGGGTATAGACCCCGCGTAGTCCACCGCGACGAGGCGTGTGCATCGTGTTGAGGGTATCGCGTAGTTCTCCTTTGTGTAAGGATCGAGAGTCTCGAGAATCCACGCGTCGATGTATACGCGCCCGATTGGAAGCGAGTAAGAGTTGTACTTTGCCGAAGAGAATCCCGCGACAGAGTCTGGGCTAAACGAGGCAGAGACGCAAAACACTGCGTTGCGAATACCGTTTGACTGCTCTGCGACTTCGCCTTGAGCAGTGTTCCTCCGAGACATCGAAGTTGTTGCAGCAGCCCGAGCCATTACCGACGCAACGTAGAACCCACGATCTCGCCAAGGGAATCCAGCCTTTGACACAACGAATGATGTCCGCGCTTTGCCCCCGAACGATTCAAGCACAAAGCTCGTGTCATACCTGTCATCCCACTTTCGCTGACAATCCGGTTCAGTAATGACAGCAGCCAGCTCCTCCGCTGACACGCCCTCGATGACCTTCAATCCCTTGTGCACAGGTATAACCGAACAGATCTCTGGAGCAAGCTTCTTGTGGATAGGCAAGCCCTTCTCGCTGACGAGCTGCCAGCCCGTCCCAGGAAAGTTTGCATGTGTCTCCTGTGTCCACGCAAGCGCATCCAGTGCATACTGCATCGGCGCCTTGGAAGGTGATGGCACCGCCGCATTACCCGTCGCAACGGCAGGCGAAATAGCCGCCATTGCCTGCTGCGTCGTCGTCGTCGCCTGGTCAACAGCATAATTTAAAAACCTCGTCAACGGGCTCGATAGTCGTGGCGCCGATGCCCATGTACTCAACCCGTTGTTGGCCGTATTCATCGATACCCCATCATTACCCTGAGAATCAGCGTCCCATTCTGCTCTCCGCCGTCGTATAACACCCATGACAGGTGGCTGGTCAAGAGGTATCCGCGGGGGCTTGACCCGCTTCTGCTTCGTAAGCAACTTGATCTCGGACTCTGGAAGTTCCTCGACGTCGACAGGCACCTTGGCGCCGTTGACCATCACAAGACCTTTCTCCTTGCACGGCGCTCGGCGCACGATAGCAAGCAGTCGATCGTCGTCAACGAACATTGCATCATGCGTCATCGTAATCCATAGCCCTCCACCTTCAACAGACAATCGATGTCGACGCAAGCAAGTAATCGTCTGCGGCGGTGGATCCACGACAATATCTAACGAAGGAGCCCAGGTGTCAATATCACAGCGCAGCTCGCACTCGATTGTAGGAGAAGTTATAGGCTGGTCCTCGCTCGAAGGCTCATTGTTCATCGCCACTGCCCGTCTGCTCGCAGAAGCCTCGTACTCAACTCGGAAATTCAAACGTTCATGGTCATAACGTAACTCGTTGGCCTTGGCACCAGCGCGGCGAGTCACAACCGGTGGACCACCACATTTGATGGCGAATTCACCTATTCCAGCCACGAGGTTGATCATCTGCGTCGGTATCGAGGTCTTGTTAGTCCATCCCTTTGGATCAGACTGCTCTAGCAGGGTAAGCATCGTCGTGTTCGGTGATAGAGCCTCGATAGCCCAGCCTTGAAGGTCAATCTGAGTACGAATGACATTGGGCTCCACAGGAGGAATAAAGGGGAAGAGGTTTGGGTCTTCGGCAGAGAAAGAAAACACGTGAATGGCGGTGGGCGACTTGTATACAGTCTTAAGCACGACAGCGTCGCGGCCGCTAAAGGTACGGATTCAAAAAATTCCTACAAGTTGGGTAATAACAACAGACACTCACTTGACAGGCCACGCGGGTCTTGTCTTGTAATGCCAGAGTTCAGTGAGTTCATTGACGTCTTCCAATAATACTGCATCCTCGTGTTGCTTGTCCCAATATATCTTGGCGCCTGGAGATACGACAGCTCCGTACAAGTCCCAAAGTCCAACGCCAACAAACGTTGCCTCTGCTCGATAAACAACCAGTGTAGGATCAATCGAGTCAAGTTGAGTGATAGCCACTCCACGACTCTCGGTTGCTACAGGATATTAGTTTATTAAGACACCAGAAACATTTAATACTCTCACTTCGTCTCCATTTGGCTTCTGGCTCTTGCAAAAGAGATGAAAAGTAGATGTAATTCCGACGTACTCTTGACAATATAGATTTGTCTGCAGCTGGCGTGCGTTCAGTTGCTATTGGTCGAGCCAAAGTCTGGACAGAGTCGGCAGATGCGGAACTGTTCACCGTGTTCAAAGACGAAGTTGACTGGAAATCGACATCAATGGCGCTTGACACATCCTGGAGGATCTGTTGCGATAAAAAGTAAGACGATGGATCACGATCTTCTACATCTTGTATTGTCTGAGGTAATCCGTTCAGTCGGAGTCCGCTTGAGGGGCCGGAAATCTCAATGACAGCTCTGACTTTCAGTACAGAATGGTCGTCAATCAGAGGAGCATGGGTCAGACGAAGAACAGTTTGATCTGGTGGGATGGATGGTGATTGGGAAGAAGAGACAGACGAGCTACTTCGGATAGCATGTGCAGACCATGGCAACTTTTCAACTTCTTCTGATGAAGCCTTTGTTGTCAGTCGTACATCCCATCCTTCTGACGAAGGAAGGATAAATTCAATGGAGCGCGTGAGACGACGATTTTCTCGTAATGTATAGACATCGTTCATTCCTTGAACACCATCATTCGTTGTGGTATCGTCCTCGGGAACGATGGCATATTCAATAGTGAGGGCTTCGCGGTCAATTTGAAACCGTAGGCGTTCGATGCTAACACCATTTCCGTATCCTGTCAGTTTCGGTACACGAGTTCCACGTTTCAGAACGGTCTTAAGGAGACCTAAGGTCATGGTAGAGAGTTGCTGCGTGAGATTTGATGAGGTGCCGAATCCCCACATAGATTTGAGGTCGTGTTGCCAGAAACAGGTCATGCGTACCTTACCCGAGGGGAAAGGCCTCTTTTTGTGCGTGTCGTTGGAAGGATTTGATAGTGGTTGGGGCTGAATATGCTGAATGCACCATGCGAATACTGCGAATACATCAGAGAAGACAATCTTGACCGTTTGAGATACTCACATGGAATATGTGATCGTACAAAAGGAGGAGATGGTCGTAGATATGCGGGCTCATCTGCTGAGCGAGGTAGAGATGTAGTGATGTCGATGATAGTTATAGCGTCATGGTAGGTGCGGGATATTGTCACGGCGTCTCGAGGGCTAATTTCATTTCAAGTCAGAAGTCGTATGTAACGAAGTAGTCGCCACACACTTTGACGGCCATCCCAGCGTAAAGTTCGTCTTCGCAATTCGTGTCGTATGGTCAAACACTTCCAATAAGTGTGCTTCCTCCACTGCAGGATCCCATTCCTGCCTTAGCTCGGGCGTAGTCAACACGGCCTTCCATGGCTCCAAAGAAACCAGTTCATCGCTGAGAGGAACGTCCAACACTAGTCTGTAGATGTCATCACCAGCCTTGCTAGGTTTTCGATGAACAACTACGCCAGTCAGTTCTGGTATTGACGATGCCTTTGCCTTTGCCTTCTTCGGAGTCGAGTTGTCACTATTGTTTGTAACTCGTCTCCACTCGTTTGAAGGTGATGTGAGTAGTTGTCGAAGATGTGTTTCAGCGTCGGTCAGGGCAGTAGACCATGATTGTCGCAGTCTGTTGCGGTATTACTGTTAGTGAATAATTGAGAGAAAGAGGCTGTTTACCTGGAGCCATCGGACATAGTGTATGTTAGGGTGCGTGGACGTGGCGAGGGTAGCGCCTACTGCCTGTCAACTTCGGACCCGTTCTGAGTCCACTTGCCATGCATTTCGGCGGCGCGTTCAGAGGCGTGACCTTCATCGGACTTTCCTTTTATGGAACTTTAGGGCCGTTTCGAACGTGTCGCTGCGCCTGTGTTCTTTTTCGCTTCATTGGCCATATAAGTACGGAATGCAAAGTATTTCCTTCTCGGCTGTAATGTATCTGCTACGAGATTTTTGAAGGCGCTCACTAGTGAAGTTTAGCCTCGTTCCCACTTTGGTGATTCGTCAAGAAACAGCGAGATTAATGCATATCAATCATCCAGGTAGAATTAAACTCGGATACCAAGTATTCCGCAACATCCTACCACCACTCATCCTTGAGGAGTTTCCGAGCGCTCGACCTGCTCTTGATATCAAGCCTCAAACACCTCTGCATGACTCTTACAATTTCCATACTTGCTGTTGTCCTATTGTTGCTAATATAAGAGAACATTGCAGGATCCTTTTTGATTGCTTAGCCGTCTTTCATGTTGTACCACAACTTCGGGCGGGAGTAACACACGAATGGTCAAAGTAAAGGTCGGCATTTCGGCTAATTGAACATATAATCGACCGAGCATTCAATCTTGTTGTAAAGCATACAACGCGGATGATTGCGCTAACCGAGCTGCCGGGACCAGACAGTTCCTCGATGAGCTCCTATGGAAAATGAAAGGCAGGTATAAGATCACAAGGTTGAGTTCGCCTTGATATTACTATTTACTAGTGGCCTTGAGATCATCGCATATATGCTGTGAGAAAGCGCTAGCGCTGTCTTGAATGTTGATAACACTTCTTCTAGTTATGCCTCGTACAGGGTAACTCTATCGGATATTTCATTTTAGGACTCGAGCTCTGAGGATGGATAGCCTAGCCCGGATGTGAGGATAGTGGCCCCATAGGTAATAACAATTGCCAATATCTTGCCCACACTGACGCTTGTCGACGTCAGTATTCCTGATCATGAAGTCCCGAATATATCATGATGAATACACAATTGCGCCACTCAGCGTGGAGGTGGGAATGGGAACGTAGCTTCAGATGCTCAATTATACGGCGCTATAGCCAAGTGGTTACGGCGACAGATTAGAATTCAGGCCAGATATTCATCTGTTCCTCTTTGAGGGCGCAGGTTCAAATCCTGCTGGCGTCGTTCCTTTGCTTTTTGGATACTGCTCTAGCATCTTTTACCACATAGATGGACTGGCTCATGCCAAGAGTCTGCCGAGCGATCTCGAAGCCCATGGTGGCGCACATCAAATTCCAGTACATTGGCATCACGTCAGGCTTTAAAGCTTAAGTCAGTACTCTTTCTTTCATGGCGGTGATATCAGATGCAACTAACTAGACTAACTGAATGGCCATGGGTAGTTAAATGCTGTCATCCACTCAATCTCCAGGAAGGGCTCGTTACCAGCCCGCCCACTTGCGCTCGAGATCTGTTCCATTATACTTGTGCACAAGAAACCTAACGTCATTGAGGAGGTATTAGCGGAGGAGCCACTAGTAGTTGTTGTCATCACTGAAGTCGTTGCCGGAAAGTGGGACGACTGATACGACACGAGCTTTGTGCTTGAACCGTTCGGAGGCAAATTGCGGACGTCCAGCTAGTATGGTTACAGTCATCTCGTCTAGTTCTTGTCTTACGTTCGAGAAGATATACAAGATGTACCACTTATCATGACAAAGGAGAGGAAGACGACGTTAATGGTGCATACCTTGACGCAGTTGAATCTCGTCAGCCGTGACAAAGTTGAACATTTCCGATGTATGCGTGACGATGTCGCCGGGTGCAACCAATCCATCCTGGACATAGTTGCAGTACTCCGCAACAAGCTTGTACGTTCGTTCCACCGATCACATCTCTCCGCTCTATTCATCAAGCTTCTTTGTGGGTAGGCAAACCCCTTTCGCTGACCATTTGCAACAGGAAAACTGGCATGTGTCTCCTGCGGCCAGGCAAAACAGAAATTGCATGGGCACCTTGGAAGGTGACAGCACCGCCGCACTCAAAGCAATAATTCTTGCAAGAAGAAAATACTTATTTCTTTGTTCGGCACTCATCTAAATCCTGATTTGTTGACTAATCACGCGTATTGGCGAAGATACATCAACGATCCTATACACGAAGAACAATTAACGCTCCTGCTTTGGGCGAGCCACGCCCGCCACCCGTCCGAATCAGAATATCCATCTTTTCATCGCGCGCCCTGGCAAAAACGCATCACCGATCTTATGCTCAGGAACAACCAGTGCCTCCCTCTTTGGACAAATCGCTCCCGCCTCCTGGCCAAATTAGAAAATCAGACCTTATTATCGCTCGAAAAAGACATGGACGATACGGACCCGAGTCTGCCCAGGCATCCGCACACAAGAGAGCCAGGTCAATGCTCCCCTCTCACTCGTACCTTGGAATAGGGCTCGCCCCAGCGGCTCTGGCGCACACTCACCAAAGAAATAAAAGTATTAGAGGGTGTCGCAAGGAGACCTCGAGACTAGCTCAGAGCCATGCTAGCTCTTCTCCGCAGCCCTCCCCAACTTAAAGTCGTTCCCGGGAACAAAAGCATGAGTTTGACGAACAATCAACCGCAGACGGGGGCCGCGCGTGGCAATGTTTCCCCTTCTTAATTGGCAACAAGACAGTTCCCATCCACAATTGTACCACCGACGGCCCATCTAACCCTAGCCGGCCCTGTCCACATATGTCACCATTTCTCCGAGTCCTTGTCTCAACTATGCTGCAATACCATCATCAACCCCTTCGTTTCAATCTGATATGTACATACGCCGATTGCTTCGAGAAGCGCCTTGTTCTCTTGATAAAATTAGCCATGATTCTTGGATACACATTACAATGCTTATAGACCACCCTCCGTAGCAACGTCCCAGTCCACATTGCCCACAATTGCTGAGAAGCCAGGATCTCCCGCCTATCAGCATGGCACTTTCCATAGAACAGATGCACGCTCCAGCCGAACTCTTCCAAACGTGGCAACAATGAGTGAACGTACAGAGTTCTTGGCCATGAACAACCCCTCATTTCTAGTGATCACTTGGATTGACAAAGTCTTGTCTGCCTAGGGGCATGAGATTCCGTCTCGAGAAGAAGTCACCGGCCTGATGGTCTAGTAGTATGATTCCTTGTTAGGGTGTTCTGTTATCTCGAGGAGGTCCCGGGTTCAATTCCCGGTCAGGTCCACATGTCATGCAGTGTGTTTCTTATTCTGTCTTTTTGCATTTGCGCCACAGAACCCATTGATGATATGCTAACTAAGGATTCTTCGATCTCTTCTGAAAGTAACTTGAGGTGGACCTGGAGTATATAAAACACTCGAGAGTAGAGTGTCATGGCCTGATGGTCTAGTAGTATGATTCCTTGTTAGGGTCACAGATGATTTCAGTCTGTATCTATCGAGGAGGTCCTGGGTTCAATTCCCAGTTAGGCCCATTTGTATCCATGTTATATGAATGTCTTTTTTCTTGAAACTAAACCATCAAAGTCTTCAGACCACTCCAAATATCACATTTGGCCTATTCAACCACATGGATGACTTGAGATCAAGCCATGTATTTGATTCCTAACCAGACCTTCATTCTCCTGACTGCATCTTTTTTTATCAATTACTTCATCAGACTGATAGTAGGATGGATAATGAAAGTGCAATTCATCATCTGAGAACTTCAAATATAGTGTTTCTACACTCCAACTTTGAACATCAACTGGAAGGCAGAGGATGTTGCCAGAAATTTCCTTCAACCATGACTGGTTGATCAGTAATTGTGATTATATCATACTTTGAGTTCTGAGTTCATTCACCAGCTGTGAGCTTGAGACAGAAGCACAGCCCAGACATACTTTCCATTTGGCTTTAGAACAAATATCAAGTTTGCCCAGCAGTCCAGAGGACATGACAAAGTGCGTCAATCCATTCTTGTGTAAACCAAAGAATGATGTCATCAGAAGTAGATGGCAGATCGAGCCAGCTACATTGGCTTCATCCATAAACCCCCTCCTTCCATATGGTGCCTGGCAGAATGGAATGGATATCTTCCGTGACTTTAGTGAGTTTATCGTTGATAACTGTTGACGGCTCCCACTCGAACAATTCTAGAAGTTGCCTGTGAATATGCTAATCCATCCACCAAGGAAAGGTTGCCACAATTGAGGAAGAAGCTAAAGTTGTTGAAGGTTACATCCACTTCTGGTCTATGAGGGAATGTGAAGTAAAGCACGCTATTGCTTGTATGTCCTCGAGAGTGACTTACCCAAAGTGGTGTTTCGATCCTCCCGTTCACAACTTTGTGAAATTGGATGACACAAGTATTCGCTAGAACAGCGGAAGTCTTGATGGAGCCCCTCCCCTCCAAGGCTTCATCTAACCTGAAGATATTCTCATGTAGAATCGTAGAATCATACAAGATACGAATGTAACTGTAACTTACAGATTCGGACACAATGGTCCCAAAATGGATGGATATCTCGTGGAGAATGCAGCCTTGACCTCTTTAAACATCGATCCATTTCGATACAAAGAAGCATGCAAAAATTTCTGGGTGATCGTATGTGAAAAGCAACAAAATCGCTTGCGTCGCGCACGGCCGTAGAGGCTGCGATCAAACCATCCAGCAAACGGCCGGAATCTTGGGTCCTTGTGGCGACTGCCTTGCCTGGGAATAGTGAAATCGCGAGTCGCCGCGATGAGGAAAGGGGTCTCGCAGAAATCCGCATCGTCGGAGACTGCTAAAGAGGGACCTACGTGATGTCAGGTGTCATGATTGAAGTGAACCAATGGTTTGAGCGGATTTTTATCACGAGTACATCATGTGGCCACATAGCTGTGTGAATGAAGATAGCCCTCTCTACACATTGAACATATACAAAAATACGTTGAACCTTTCTAGCTCGTTCATGTGCGATTGATGCCCAGAAACCGTGGATTTCACAGGATTACCCTACAGGGCGGCTCAGATCATCATTATAACTGCGAAAATACCAATCAATAAGCCGTACCCGGGCCTCAGATCAGCGCCGTTATATTAGTCTTAGTCAATGGCAACATTCATCCCCGCCAACGCACTTGCTTCCGCTTCCTCGTCTTCCTCATCACCCTCCTCCGCTACCGTCGCCATGAAGCCTTCGCTCCAAAGCCCGAAGATAATAACTTGTCTTCCACATGTCCTCAATCTTAAAGTTGGCGTGGTCAAAAGCTAGAGCCACAATGGGACCAAAGTCCCCGTTTCGCGCACCCTGAAGGACAGAGGGAGGCATTTCAGGATGACGAGAAGAGAAATGTGTGAGTGTTTTGCTCGCATCCGTTTACCGACGTCGAGGGCCTGTCCGAATTGTACTGTGCCTTTTGCGCCGCCATTTACTTCTGCTCGTCAGCCACCGTGGCCTCGTGAATCAGGAGCGTCGCATCTTTATCCGCATTCACCAACGAGGAAGATTGTTCAGTGTCGCCAGAGAAGGGCTAAGGTAAGAAATATGAGGCGAGACTCATGGATATGGAACTTACACGACATTCCAGCCGTCTCTGTGATGATTGCGCCGTAGCAGCCGTGTTTTATGACGAGCATCAAAGGCGTTAAAACTCTCGAGCCCGAGAGCATCGTACATAGCAGCCGCGTTCTGGAGTGACCTGTTGGTCGAGCCCCTGCAGACGTCCAGCCCATCAACCAGGAGGGCAGCGGTGACACCACACAATCGTATTGCGTTCCCTAGGAAGGACCTTCCCGTCAATGAAGAGAGCAGCGGCACACTATCTTACTGCGTTGTCGCCTAAACACCCAAACGAGTTGCATGATTCTGTAAGCTTCTCGTGCTTCTCAGGCGGATTTGTACCTACGATTGATCGGACAGTGAACCAACTCATTACACATTATTCATATAAATTATTGTCCCTCGTTTGAAGGAGGATTGGATTTGAAGGAGGTTTTCGTTATTCGTCATGGTTATGGTCATTACTAGCTAGACAGTATGGGTGGGACGGTCGTCTTATTCTGGATAGCTAGTCTGCTGAAGGGAGCTTGGGTTTCAATTCAGCGGGTTTATGCGTTCTTGTTGTGTGTCATCGAGAATTAGCTAGAAAACCGACGATACTTGAGTCGACTCCAGATCTTGAGCTGTGAAGACGGTATGAATCTAGGGATAGCGACCCAGGCATCGTAAAAGAAGATCGAGAAGGGAGGGAATGCCCAACAGCCGGAGTCTACCGTCGCTGCCAGTGATGCGCCACACAACACTTTTGTCTATCCCCGTAAATATCAGAGCCCTTGAGCTCACATCAACGACCCAGTCTACGATGGTAAAGTACGAGATTCAATTGCGGATTCTACCAGAATATTCAAACGAGCAAGCATGGTTGTAAGCTAACGAAAAAAAATAGACCATCATGCTCACTACTTCTTTTCCAGCTCTGCGATTCGCCCGTCAATGAGCCTCAGGAGAGTACTCATCCCCAGTAAAACCCCTTCATCCGGACCTTGCCCGGGTGTCAAACGAGTATGAGCAAAATCAATCAGCTTCACGACATAAGGTGGTCCAATGGAGTTATCCTCCTCGTCCTCATCCCCTTCACTTTCGTCATCTTCCTGTTCCTCAAGCCGTTGCAAAGCTTCCTTGGCGCGGGTCCAATCCGCTTCATACACAATCAGAAGGCTTCCCCCAACCATACGCATCTCAAGTCCACCATAGACATCCTTGATCTCTGCAATGTCTTCCCGTAACCCGTGTAGTATGGGCAGAAGAGTATCTATCGGGAGACCGCTCGATGATTTCGAACCCCCGTCGCTTTCCTGTGTAATGTGTGACCCAACTGGGAAAAAACGAGAAATCCCGTCACGAAGATCTGCGGGTTTGATAGACTTCCCATAGTCTTTTGGCGTATTCACGGCCAGATTTGTGACATTATCGTACACCTATTACGAGATGTCCTCTTATCAGATGAACCCCGATGGGCGATGTACGGTATGGCTTCACCTGAAACCCTGTCAATCTTGTTCCCGTCTCAAGCGATGTAGTGTTCTTTGCGGTGTTGATCATTCGCTCGACCTTCTCGGGAGATGCTGTTTCGTCGTAGAGTACAGTACCAAGTTTCACATCGAGAATGTTGGGTTTAAGGAAGGGGGAAGATATATTTTCCAGAACAATGGACTGTGTTTACGGGTGGAACGGGGAAGGGTTGACAAAAGAGAAGTAGCAAAGAGATTTAGTGCGTACACCACTGTGAATATGAAATGAACATATCTTTTTCCGGTACATTAGTAGGTATTACGCGGATGTTTCCCTCCACGGCGGACTTCTTCTCGTCCAACTCGCCCTCAAGCTTCAGCGTTCCAATAAAATTGGGTATGAATGGGCGCAAGGGCTCAAGGTCTGAATTCTGTCGGAGTGCTTGATAGAACTGGAGTTCGAGGGGAAGTACTGGCTTGATGATAAGCGAACCGTCCTCTGTTGCGAGAACGCCTGCATGCCCGCCAACCTGGGATGAGAGGGGTTTATGTGTTGAGGTTGAGGACGCCATAGCTGAAGAGGTGGCAGAAGGACAGAAAGCTGACAATCAGCTCTCAAACGCGTCGTTGATTAAGAGATTTGATCGATCAAAGATCTCGAATCACAAATGTCTTTCCCGAACCATGGCTCTTAACTTGAACTACGATCTGAACACGTATCTCACTGTTACTCTCTCTTCTAGCTCACCCTTCTTCGGCGAACCCGCACAGCTCGCGATGGTTCATCCTGCCGTCACACACGTCGGGCCGGTTGGCCAGATGCAGGATGTTCAGATCTTCAGCGTCCCGAAGTTGGAGTGGGAGAGTGTCCACAAAGATGTCTTAGAAAAGCTGAGCGAGGCGAATGGTGTTGGAAGAATCGATGTGCAGAAATTGGAGGCACGCTCGAAACGGGCTGGTGATGAGTTGTGATTTCGGCGACACCGTGTACGCTATCTTCTCGCTGGCAATGGTTGCTCGTATCAACTGTCTTACATTTTTGAGCATCTAGAACTTCTCAGGACTGTTCATTAGTTCTCTGCTTCCGTTGCTGAGTCGAGGCTTTTATTTGACGAGTGTCATGATCTTTGGAACGACTTCGGGCTGGGAACATCCTTTACTCGGCCCAAAACTTTATCTCTGTGCGCGCACTACTAATACTATCTGTTATACCCTAAGCCCTTGAGCTTGAGACGACTTCGTTGGAAATGACACAGCTCTGCAATACACAATTTCGGTTCAAGGTAAAGATTCAACTGAATAAAGATTGTCATTACATATATCAATAAGTACCTGTGTTAAAAGTGGAGATGATACAGAAAACATTAAACTATTCGATACATTGCGACATAGTCGTGTAGATCAACCTTTCGTATCTTGATCCAGTCAATCGTTTCATATGCACCTCGAATTCACGAAGGGTGGGTGCAAATGTCCGAAGCACTCGTTCGCATTCC